GCAAAAGCCCCAGAAGAAAAAGAAAAGAAACAAAACAGTTTATTAGCAATGTGTGTAATAATCACATTTAGCAAACTAATGGCTATTGAATACTAAGTTACCATCATCTGAGATACAGATCTTCTGTGCTTCCAGAGAGTTTTGGTATGTTATCAAATGATGGTGATCATAAAGAAAGAACAAACCCCACGTGAGGCACTCAGCTTTAGGATCTAAAATCCAAAGCAAGTGTGAACACAACACATGCACATTATCTTGCATCAGCAAGGTCTCAAACAGGCACAAATTCTGCAGCAGCCAGGTTTTTCCAAATGTGCTGTTCAAGTAAAGCTGATGATTTCACTTACAACTCTTCCATAAAATGCAGGAGGACTACAGTCTGCCGCACAATTAGCTCCATTCAAAGCATTAAACTATGGTAAACCCATCTATGGACCTGAAATGTTTGATCCAAACTATCCCAAATGCACTGCCAGAAACACAAATAGCTATTTTGAGACTTTGCAGCAGATGGTTTGTCCCACACAGAACCAGATTTGAACATCAAATTCATCTGAAGTAACTGAACAGTACCTGAACTGTGACAAATTGTCTACAATTGCAGCAACTTAACTTCCAAACATTTGTACCTGAATGTGCTTACTTGGGTACAAATGCTTCAATGAAATTTTACCTCTAGAATGGATTTACCTTATTTATTGCATCTTGCTTCTTGACTTTAAAAATAAACAAGCAAGAACAAATGTTTAGAGTTCACAGCAGGGGTGGAAATTAGCACCTGTCACTGGTTAAATGTGGGTAAAATTATGAAGTGGCGTGTAGATCTGAACAACCACGTTGGCAGGTGTGTAATGAACTAAAAAAAATTGCATTCAAATCGCGCTACTGACCTTTGTCAAAACCTCAGTTTCGTTTTTAGTTTGCATTTCAGAGCCTGTAGGATGTTGAAAATCATTAAACAACATCATTTTCCAACCCGCTCTGCAGCTAGAAATAAATTCCCCCCTCCTCCTTTCCTGCGCACTGTCATCTGTGTGGTCCGCGGTTTCTGGTCAGGTGAGGTGACTGGATGGGGGGGGGGGGGCACGCAAGATGTCTGTAACTTTACATAACGATTTCAACCTTCAACCTGCAGACTCCAACAACTTGTAAACAAGTACAAAGTTGTTTATGCAGATCTGTATCATGTTGTTGTGGGTCCCAGTAGTCTATTTAACCCATCAGAACTTCCCAAATATTTTGGGTGAATTTGATCAGAATTTCTCTCTCTCTCTCTCTCTCTCTCTCTCTCTCTCTCTCTCTCTCTCTCTCTCT